GCGCACGCGTCAATTCGGGTCTTCGATTCCCTCCCCCCTTTTACAGCCCTCGGATCGCCCGGAGCGAACCAGCTGGGGACGCATGCGCATACGTTCTGTCTGGGGCGGCGGAGCCCTCCCCCGCTGAGGCCACGCCCCCTCGGTGAGCGGACTGGCTGTCCTCGCCCCAAGTCGCCTACTCATACCCACAAGCAGTACCCCAAACTGCTCTCTGTAAGCCATCACCTCACCTCCAAATTCCCCTAACGACATACCCTGTGCTGTCCTTCAAATGCAACTCAAAACCACCCTCCATTCTCCAAAAATATATCCTCAAAGTATTGTCTTAATTCCAAGCAGTACCTTCAATCCACCCTCCATGGACAACCAAGCTGCACCAATAAACCATCCTCCATTAATCTCCCACTTGAGCCCAAATCACATTATGTTAACCCCAAGCTATGCCCCTAAATTACCCTCCGTGGATATCAAAATTGCATCCAAAAAAGTATTCATGGACGTTCCCCCAGTGCACTACAAACTGCCCCCCCATCAACTGGCAAATCTCTATTTACCTCTGAATTTTAATCTATAAACCACCTTCCATCATTCCCCAAATTGTATCCCCAAACTACTGTCCGTTTATCCCAAGCAGTAGATCCACCCACTCATCATGGACATGGAACTGCACCGATAAACTACCTTCTACTACCCCCACCCTGTTCCCTCCAAACCATCCGCAATCAACCCTAAAGCCCATTAATTTTCAAATGACACTTCTATTTTTTTATTTATTTTTATTTTTTTGAGTAGCTGAGGATCAAACTCAGGGCCTCTTGAATGCTAGGCAAGTGCTGTACCACTGAGCTACACTTCCAGCCCCAGAGATCATTTCTAAATCACCCTGTAATATACACCCAGAAGCCCTTCACTGATCCCAAACCACCGTCTATTGATCCTCAAGGTGCTATCTAAGAGGTCCCTCAACATAGAGTAGGTTTGGGCCAGTTAAAAGTAGGAAAAGAAGCACAGTCTACAGTGTATGGGCAGCCACTATGCAAGAGCTAACACAGCGGCCCCCAACTATCCTTGAAGTGGGCCTCACCTGCACCTCAAATCCATGCTCCATGACCTCCCCTCCTACCACCACAAAATGACCTTCCAGCAGCCCCAATTACTGTCCCACATACTGCCGACTACGTTTCATGTGGTCTCTCGGCTGCACTTCAGATGGCCCTCCAGAACTCTACACCTTCAAGCCATATTCTACTGACCCAAGCTGCACTCCCAAATGATTCTCAGCTGCACCTCCAAATAACCACCTGCCACCTTTCTGCAGAGGCCTCCAAATCATACTCCAGTATGTCTCCCAAGCCCTCCAACAGCTTTGCTTTTTTTTTTTTTTTTTTTT